TATTGGTGTCAAACGATTGTTAAGAGATTATTGATTTAAAGAGAAAGAATATAAATTATTTTACTAAAAGAATATTAAACTATATATATTTAACAAGATTTCGTACTTATTTAGGAAGATGTTTAGAAAAGCCTTCTTAAACAAGTGAAAATCTTTCTTAAACTTATTCTTACGAAGGTTTTCTACTTGTTTAGTAAGACCACCCTAAACAAGTGAAAATCCTTTTTAAACTTATTTTTAGGAAGATTTCGTACTTGTCTAGGAATGTGTTTAGGAAAGCCTTCCTAAACAAGTGAAAATTCTTCCCAAATTTATTTCTAGGAAGGTTTCCTACTTGTTTAGGAATGTGTTTATGAAGACCTTCCTAAACAAGTGAAGATCTTTCATAAATTTTTTTTAAGAAGGTTTCTTACTTGTTTAGGAAGGTGTTTAGGAAGGTCTTCCTATACAAGTGAAAATCCTTCCTAAACTTATTTTTTAAAAAGTTTTCTACTTGTTTAGTAAGACTTTCCTCAACAAGTGAAAATCTTTCCTATAGTTTTTTCAAGAAGGTTTCCTACTTGTTTAAAAAAGTGTTTAGGAAGACATTCCTAAACAAATGAAAATCTTTCATAAACTTATTTTTAAGAAAGTTTCCTATTTGTTTAAGAAGGTGTTTAGGAAGGCCTTCCTAAACAAGTGAAAATCTTTCATAATCTTTTTTTTATATATTAAATAAGACAAAAATATTAATCTAAACAAAACGTAAAAGAGTTAATTTTTAAAGATAAAATAATAATACATTTAAAATAATACCATAACTTATTAAAAACATACATAAAAACATATATAATTACGTATATATTAGATTTTCCAAATAAGTATAATATATTTGTTAATAAAATTGTGAAACAAAAACTTGCGCACCGCGCGAGCATATTCTAATATTATCATATATCAAACATACATATAGTTTTATATATTTTTTTTTTTTTCTAAATTCTCATTTATGTTCCATAAATTTAAAATTTTTTTACCAATATGTATTTCTAAATAAAATCACTCCGACTAAATAAAATGTGACTTACCTAATTTTATTTTTTAGATCATGACCTAAAAATCAATTAGTTTTGTTATATAGTTAAAACTTATGTTAAATAATCCGCGCATACGCGCGGGTATCCACATAGTATAAAAGTTATTTACTTAATTAACAATCTGTAGTTTGTAACAAACACTAAAAACTACACCCTTTATTATTACTTACAAATTAAAAACAGTATAACATAAATATACAATACTAATTTAACGGTTGTTGTGAAGATTAATCGCAGTAAACCCTTCTTCAACAGAGAAACGTGGGTGCACTCTTTGATCACTTCCCCTTGAAGGTGAATTTGGCAATTTATAGCTATTATCCATCGCTAGAGACTCTCCTTCTTGCTGATGAATCACTAGTACTGAGAAATGAAAATCCGTCGACGCAAACATGTCTCCGATCACACCTAACTCAGGACACTCGCTCCAGTCCGTTAGCCCGTACAATACCGACGAGTCGAGGTCATGGTCACGACCCACTACAACCATATCGTATGTATCTCCAAGTGAACTAATCACTTGCGTGGTTTCCACGCCATCTCTCACTATCTCTTCTCTGTAACGAACTTTGGGTTTGTTCATCGAGAAGTTCTTGAAATCGTTTATAAGGTGAGTTTCCGAGAATCCGGATTCCTCTTCTACTCCGTGGTTTTGTTGGAGGGAGCTCTTGTGCCGGAAATGGATCATCGTGACGCTCACTTCCGGGTGTTCGGCGATTCTCATACAGAACGCGAGTGCTTCCGCATCGTCTCGGCCTTCTATGAAGATCACAGCCACGTTCCGCCATGTGTGGCTCATGAGGACCGAGCGGCGGCCTTCTGTTTCTCCTCGGTCGATGAATATCCCGACCGAACAAGGTGCCTTTTCCAGCACGTTCATGTTTATGGCACGGATCGCCGGGTTCACATGGTCAACGTTCCCGTCTATCGCGTACTGTTTGTGGAATGGGATGACGATGAGCGCCGCTTTCTTGTCGAGGGCGAGTGTGCAAATGTCGTCATTGATACTTGAGAATGGAGCTGCAGCTGTGAAATGCTGAGCCATTAGAGTTCCTTGGTTCAGCTGTTCAAACCGTTGGAAACCGTTGGCAATGTACGTGGATTGGACCGTGTTGGGATCGAGTTTGTTCATCTGATGATGCGGCATGAGCACCGCGTGCGCTCGGCCTTTGAGCTCAACGAGATGCAGCGTGAAGACAGAGATCGGGCTGAATCGTGTCGGGTAAGAAGCTTCAAGAAGATTAACCATGGAAGGCACGTTTTCGACGTTGTATACGCAGAGGAGAAGACGGAACTGAAGGTTTCGTTGTCTCGTGTTGAGGATTGTTCTCTTGCTCTTGCTTCTGTAGCGTTTTGATGGGTCGTAGAGGCATACGACAAGGAACCGCGAAATACCGGTCACAAGCAAAATCGACATTATAAGAAGATTGAAGCATTCTGTGTTAAGAACCTGTGAACAATAATGTATAATTCGATGATTTTTTTTGTGTGGAAAATGTGTACATGGACCGACGCTATATTGAGAGAAAATATATAGGCCTTATAGTTGTACCTTTTCGTCTTTCCACATGACGGATGTATAGATCTCGATGACTCCTTGGCAACACATCAAGAAGGCTAAAGAAATTGCGTCAGTGAACTGTATGTTGCAATAAGCGGAAGCGGCTACAGTTCCTACGAACTTGCAGCCGTATGTGATAAGGATTACGGCCTCTATGATCTTCACGTGACTCTTTCCGATCAGGAAGAAATTGGTCTGCAATCCACTAATGGCGATGAAACAAGGCAGCATAAGGCTCGACGCAAACATCTCAAGCTTGGATGTGAGCCCGGTTCCTAATGGAGGCCCATCAGGGAGCGATACTCCGAGCCAGAACGCTCCAAACGCTGCGTGGACGCCGAGCACTTCGGAGGACATGCTTACCATCAGCAAGACCATTATGATCGGGAAGAATGGGATCTCGTCTTGTTTACCGATCGTAATGCTTCTTCTTTCCGTCAACCAGATGATGACTGGTCTGCAGATCACGAAAATCCCGACCACAAGAATGCTGATCCAAATGAAAGACCAAACACTAGCTAGTGTTCTCTCTCGCAAGAAAATTCTGAAAACGAGTGTGACAATCCAGCTAAAGGCCTCACAGACAATGGAGCAGTTTGTGGCTAACCGTCCAAGATCAGAGTTAAGAATGTTGAGCTCAGCTAAGACGGTTGTGGTGACGGGGAATGAGGTCAATGCGTTGAGGGAGATCATTGTGCTGATGCAGTGAACAACGTCCGGCGGGAGCTTGTAAGTGTTTTTCAAGAAGAGGACGGTGAGGTTACCGAGGGAGAAGGGGAAGGCATAAGAGGCTGTACCGATAAGCATGGCTTTGGAACCAGCCTTCCGGAGAATGCTAGCGTCGATTCTTAGCCCGAGTAAGAAGAGATGGATGAAGAAACCGACGTTTGAGAGCGTTTGTAAAGTGATTTTGCCGCTCATGGGAAGGAACATGTCCATGTATGTCTTGCTTTGGCCAAAAAGAGACGGTCCTAGGATTATACCAGCCTGCGTGCAAAAATTTCTCAAAATTCGATAAAAAGAGAAATATAGAAAACTCCAGGCTCCATAGATTAGTCCGAGTTTGGGCATGGGATTCCTCGGTTACAGAAAAAGAAAAGACGACTTATTGTGGGAATTCTTACCAAGACTTGGGCAGAGATCATGCCTTGCTTCAAAGGCTTGAGGAGGCGGAAGAGAAGCCGTGAGGTGAGGATGATGACGGCCATTTGCACCAAGAGAAGTGGCACTGCGTAATTAAAAGGATCACTGCCCAAGAAAACCCCCTCTGAGGTTAACATGTGGGTTTTCTGGCATACCATTGTCTCCATCACGAACGGCCCATGAACTTTGCCTCTCTGCATCGAGTTCGCCTCCTCCATGTCCTGCTTTGACATCGCCATGATCTTTTTTCCGTGCGTGCCAAAGATGAGTGTAAAAAGAACGTGGAGGAAGAGAGATTGCTCTCTCTATATATGCAGAAACTACTGTATTTGGACAGAGCAAGCTAAGAATCTATTACTAAGATGAAGAACAAAACAGAGGACTCTGTTTTTATTTGTTGATTATCTTGCCATCATCAACTGTAGATTGGTTTCTAGGTTTTGTTAGAAGGTCAAAGACAAAAGGGAAGTA